GAACCGAGAACACTCCCATAATGGAAATAGTCAAGTCCCATTGACTTATAAAACAATGCTAGCACAAACGTTTAATTGTGTGTGGTTTAGGGGGCTCTGTTGGCAGATAATCCCTGATTCATTTGTAGAATCATGTGAAAGTATGAGGCACTGTGTTTTCAATTTCTTTAAAACCATCCCTGCAGATGAAGATGGGCTTTTTCCAAGCTCCGACATTTTTCATTTTGTTGTTTTAAGACATTGTGCAAAATGTAAATCACACAGTAGCTCTAGAGAAGGCCTTTCACGCTAAACTCTCCAACATGTTTGTAGGATACCCTCTGCAATCTTCAGTGTGGCTCTAGATGTTGGTAAACCGTACACAATGATCCTTTTTTTTTAAAGATCAGACGCTGTGAAGACGTCACCCAATCTCAATAAGACCCGCCAGTGCTCTCTGGCCCCAGCCCCAGTTCGACAGGAAACTGTGAGGGAAGAGGGAAAGAAGGCAGAGCCTTGAGAGCGTGAGCTTTCAAACCACATCCCCACACCACAGGCCGACTTCACCCTCTTTAATGGTGCCAAATTTTCCCAAAATGTATCAGATGTAGCATGTGATTGCCAAATGGTCATAAAATTTCTGATAAATCAAGTTTTACTCTGGAGGGAAATGTCTGCTAGAACCATTTGGAGAGTAATGGCAAGATCTGTAACCATTCAAGTCATCATGTTAAGTAAAAACACACCGAACTTGTTAGCATGACCTTTACAGCTACCCGTACATACATGTAAATATGCAGATATACACTCACCCGCATCAACAGCAGAGAGTTATATGATAAATCTAGATGATTGAGACCTTCCTTGTACGAGAAACTAGTATCCATTGCAGGCTAGTACTTTGTAATTTGTCAAGACTTAGAAAATATAGTATATATATAGTAGAACTAACATAGATAGATTAATTGGATTCTTGGAATGAAAAAATAAAGTTAGGAATGCCTTAGAATGCTTTGTATGTTTTCCAGCCCATTGCACTGAGATGTCAGTCATGCTGCAGTAAATAAATAAATACTCCTTTCATTTATGTTTAATGTGAAGAAGCCGTAGATCCAATTAAATGGCCAAATTTACCTGGAAGTAAAACTTGCTTCAACTCTGCATGGAACTATACTGGATATTTAAAGGAGCACTTCCCATTTTTGTGCTGCCTATCATGTACACATTTTTAAAACACAGGTTACCCTTCAAGTCTTCAGGTTTCAATTTCTCTTTCTTTCCTCTGAGCTCAACTTTATATTTGGGGCACTACCTGCCCTCGCTCGTGGAAACTCTGGTATTTTGTGCAAGGAATTTGAAATCGATCAGGTTTAACACTCAAGAGCAGGGTGCAGCTGCACCTCACCAACACTTATGTAGGGGAGGTTTGTGTGAGTTTTTGAGATGTACACTAAAGTAACAAGGTCCCTGGCCAAAGTCTCAAAAGACAGAGATGATGGAAGTGAGGAAAAACTAAACAGCGGGCATCCGCCTCGTGCTCTGCTCTGTAGGGGGCACTTGTGTGTGCTTGTGCACGTGAGTATGTTAGTCTGTGTATGTTGAGGATGTTTGTATATCTTTTCTCCAGCAGGACCCCCAGATCAAAACCGCAACCCACTCTCCCTCCCCATGCCTCTTTCGTTCTCTCTTTCTCCATCTCTCCACCCCCTCTCTCATTAAAAACTGCAGGCCCTGGCTTCTAATTAAATCCCACTTGAAAAGTCTTAAAGTCAGCCTCAGATTGATTCAATTTGCATTTCTGAACAGAGAACATTGCCTAAAAGGATTAATAAATTGGACGAAAAAATGCCTTCTTTCTGCGCCATGCCGTCAGAGCTTGTAAGACAACATCCAAAGAGAAATACCCCCCCCTCCCCAGCTAACGTCTATCCAACATATGCTCTTGCTATCTCTCTTGCATGTCCCTCCTAGCATGCCAGCGGAGATGGGAAGTGTGTATCAGAGCTGTGTGTGTGCGTGCACGCACTCGTCTGTGGAAGGAGAGGGGGATATGAGTCCTCTGAGGCTCAGTTGGGAGGGAACACACACATAGGCTGTATCTCACTGTGTATGTATGCGTGTGTGTGTGTGTTTGTGCGACTTAGCATTTATGCGCGATAGTGGTGACTTTGTTGTTGCGTGCCAGAGTGCTGAAAGTGACAAGAAGGCACAGTGGGAAAAGATCTTTGCTGCTCTGTCTGTGTGTGCAGAAACAGGCCTCGGTGATGGAGCCATGCCATTGGCTACTGGACACCTAGAGCAACATGTCTGGAAATCCAAAAACACATTTGCCAGCTATGAGAGCCAAATTTACTTAGTGTGACAACACGAAAAGAGCAAAAGAAAGACATTCCAAAACAGACTAAAAACTGAGTAAGAAAAGTAGGCAAATAGCGCAAGTTTACTCTATACTTTTGTACTTTTTGTAACTGTAGAGGAATCCTAACATCTGATCACCTGTTAGCCATCAAAGTATTTGCACCTGCAAATCAAATGGCCCTCTTATATAGGATTCGTACGGGTTTTGAGGCTGCAGAATCAAATTCTTCTCTGGCATTTTCTACAAATCATAGATAGTTTAGATTACATATCTTATTTGGTCTTTAATCCAATTATTTTCATTACCATACTGACATAGAGAAACACACTGACTTTCACTCCTTGTTTTCTTTTTAGTGTCAGCCAATTTTTTTCGTGATTATTTTATTGTTTCAGAGCAGTTTATTTTTGCAGTAAATGTTTCTTTGACTTTTTAAAGCGTTTATTTTAACAGCCCAAGGATTCAATTTCCTCTCTTCATAAAAATTGTGTTTTAGGGAAAAAAGCTGCACTAAGCAAGCATGATGTGCGTCTAATTTGTTCAACTAAACCTAAAGAAAGTGAGGTTTATGGAGAGAAGAGTGTTGAATGGAAAACATTGTCCCTGTTGTTATTTGCTTGTCAAACTAGCTTGTATAATGGCTAATGGACTTTCATAGACTGCCGGTGGCTCAGTGATTGAAGCTTTTTTAATAAGGAACAAGAACCACATGGAGACAGACAATGGGACGTGTAACACAATATACAGTGGGCATGGCTCAGCAGGACTTGGTTTGCCAATAATTACAGCAACACAGTAAGAGAATGAAAATGTTGATGAGGTTTGGTGTTTTTTTTAATTAGCTTTTAAATTTAAGGGAGGAATCTAAATGAACAGAGCCACAGAGAGGAGATATTTTGGTCAAAGAGAAATGCAAAATCCGAGTCAGAAAAAAAGTTTGATGGGTTGAATATGATAGTCCCTATCTGAGACAACGCTAAAAAGATATTATGCTCTGCTCAAAGGGAAAGCCCAGGTGCATTACAACTTGGTGGTAGAATTGAGGCCCGCCTTGTAAAAGACAACACTGACCCCTAGTGATCCAAGATTTAAAATCTGATTTGCATAATCTAAGTCCATAAAAGTGTGGACGCGATCATAGTAAATCCTTAAATGCAGAACTGTGTGTTGTTGAAGGTGTGGATAGAGGACGGAGATGCATCGATGTCCGTTCGCTCCTCTGCAGTAATGAAACTGTTGAATTTGCAGTGCATGGCCTGGAGGTGTGAGTTTGTTTTAATAGTGGTGCCTGGCAGGCTGGAGTTTCCTTTGATGCAATGAAGGCTGACAAGCGTGAAACAGGTCCAAGGAGGCACGTGGGCGCTGCCAATTAACCCTTTTCACCGTGTGAAACCAAACATAATTGCCTGGTGTGCATGAGGCCAATAGGCCATGGCCTGCCCAGCGTAGGCTGAAATGGGCATTAGTGGTGCTGCCAGGTGACCATTACACACAATTGAACCGCTGGGTGTCTCTCCAAATCACATAGTTACAGTTGCTACCCTGACCTAATTGGCATGATATTACCAAATGGCCCCTAATTCTACTTTTCACACCTTTAGCATTTCTATGGGATATCTTTATAGATATTACTACTGGAAATAAACTGCATGTTACTTATATTTGGCTATTTTCTAACTCTAAAAATGGGCTGATTTTATTATGTTTGAACATTTAAAACATACCCGTTGCTAGAACATTGGGATGTTGCCATAATTCTGTTCATAACAGTAATAATCGTAACTGGAACAAATACTGGGTAATAAGTTAAGCTCTGTGTGCATTGATAATCAAATTTTATGTCATGCTCAAGGCAAAATCTCCACATTTTTAGTTTAATACCCAAAAGTAGAGCACAGCTTAAATTAAACTACAGCAGTTCTCTTTAATGCTGCATAAAAACAAGATTTATCAAAATCTACTCCTATTATTAAAGTAGTTATCAATTAATTATCATATTTCGGAACAACATAAGATTAAATGATTGCTTGCGATTTATTAAAACAGGAAAAATACCCATGGACTCTTTTCTTTAAACATAAGAAATAAAGAGCTGTGCTGTGATTGGAAACTGAAAGTCACTTGAAGTAAGATGGATTTTAATAAATGGTGAAATCCATGAAATCACATGTGGTATATCTAAATGTACAAAACAAGATCACTGACTTGTTCAACATTATTCAACAATTGCATGGTTCACAAAAGCACATTAATACACCAAATAGCTGAAAATATTACTAACATCTGCTTACACTGTTAGAATAAAAAACATCATTAAACCACATTAGTGTGAATAGTTTACAGTTGGTCTTGCTGCGTTTCTCCCCCAAGTTTGTTTCCCAAACTGTTTGTTTTGGATTTGAAATTTAAGAAGCATCAGAAAGCATAAAATGACAATATTGGTGCCTTATTGAAACTGTACTGACACTGTCTGAAATTGTGTGTGTTGATAAAGATGTTGCCAAGGATCTAAAGCTCAGAAAAGTCTGATGTAAAATGGGTTACATTTCTCGTGTTTGTTAAATTGTGATTAACGTTTTTTGTTTTTTTTTACGCAACAAATTTGTAATGCGACCATTTACCCTCTAGAGGTCGTTGTTTTACCGCCGCAGTATCCTCCAGCCTCGCGATCCCGCCTGCCTGCCTGACTGTCCAACATGAAATGTTGGCAAAACACCCCCTCCTCAACCCCTCCTTATCGGGTTGAAAAAATGGCGGACAAGCGCTAAAGCCACATCAGAAACAAATACACACGTCACAAAGCAAAGGTAAACATCCTCGGATGCACCGAGCAATGTCTGTTTTTCGGGTTCGGCTCCAGCCGGAGCCTGGGCTACCGCTCGGTGCGCGCGGCGCGCTGCCGGGCTCCCATTGTGCTAATGCTAATATTTGTAATCAGGTCAACGAGCGACAGCCGCCTAGCATGCTAAGTTAGCATCCAGCGGAGTGGGCATGTCTAGCGTATGTGTGTAGCGTAGCATGCTGGATGTGAGGGTGCCACTGGCAACGGGGAGGTAGCATTTCATTTAAAGCAGACCTTTAAGATGCTGCTAAACCAGAAATAACACCATAGTACCACACTTACTGCGCTGCCGTCCAGTAAATAACTTATCACGTCAAATATAGCACAGAAGAGCGCGAAGAAGCGGGCTCCATGTGTTGGCTTTGTGTTATGAATGGAGCTGGGAAAATGTCAGCAACGTGAGCGGCGAGGTTTCGTCAATAAATGGAAACGCTGGGCACACGGCAGATAAAGAGAAAGCCGCAGGAGTTTTCACACCGATGGATGGAGGAAGGTGTACCTCTAACCCCCAGTCTTCCTGTCATTTGTCAGATTTGAAAACAGGGAGCGGGTCGCTTTAATTGGGACGCCATCCCCCTTTTTTTGGCGTAGGAAAAAGGCGCACTTCTATTCAAAGGGAACTCACCCGAGGAGGAGAGAGGCTGCAAGCGGTTATGAAGTCTTAAGGTAAGCGTGTTTATATGAACAGGCCATTCATTTGAGCACCTCTGTGCAATTCTCTGTCAGAGCGCGTCCACAGATAGACCGGGCACCGTATTTGTCAGTCCACATCAGCCTTTAAAACAAATCCAGCGTTGCTTTTCCGCCACAGATGCAAATATCTTAACAGTAGATGTTGTGTTTTGTAAATCTGAATAACCGTCTAACACTGCATTCTGCGAGTTTTCAACAGCGTTTGCTTTTTAGTTTTTCCGTGTCTCTGGCTCCTAAACTAAACCAGTTTAATGGCTATAATCATTGCTATTATGGGATTAGAAGCTTGTTGGAGCACTTGTCTGCTTTATACTTAACCTGTTGACTTCTGTGTTTTTGGGTCAAAAGCATGTTACTGTTTTCTGAACATTTGTCTACTGGCTGATTACAAGAAATGTCATCAAATGATGATGCTATTTTTTTAGTTTTATAGTTATTTTTCTTTTATCAAAAGGGAATGTGTTCATTGTTTGATAAATGATTTTGCTGGACATGTATGCAGTGACCACAATGACAATTTTGAGGTGGAGAAAAATAGAGATTACTAAATTTATGCTGCTTTTTATATAGGTTCCAAAGAGACCTTCCAGATATTTTGTCCCTTCCATGTATGTTTTGGCTGCTCTCAGCCATAAGAGGAGCTGTGATACCCCCTGATGTAGCTTAAAATAGTAAATTAAATCCATATGTGGTGCATTCTTGCAAAGATCTATTGTCTCCAGTTGAACTTGCCTGATCTTCCTGTCGTCAGTCCATGTGTCAAGTTCAGATAACAAGCCCCTATTTTCTTGTAAAAAAAAGCATATTTGTGGTACACTTGGTTTGAGTTCCCCTTAATTCCCATTGAAGTTATTAAGCCATATAATTTATTATAAAAAAGAAGCACTAAGGTTTGCAGCTGTACAATTAAAAATGCATTTATATTAGTCTAATTTATTTGGTATTTCCAGACACTTTCAATAAAATGTTAGTAAATCATTAAATTATTGTTTGCTTTTATAATTAATCAACTGCCAAAATAATAGAGAGAAATGACTCTGAAATAATCTCCAAATACTATAAACTCAGAAATATATTGGATATCATTTTCAAGGTTTATCTCTGTGTGTGTCTCAGTAATAAGATAAAGTCAGCACCCTTGAAGTAGCTTTTTTCAACTTAAGGAGGGAAATTATCTGGAAAGACTAGCAAAAAAAAAAAGCATATCGAGAAAGTCAAACCAGTAATATTTTAACAGTTTATTTTTGTGTTTGTTGTTTTAAGATCACTTTTTCATCAGTTGGTCAGAATTGTTGGAGCATGAGGAAACCTGTTCCACCGAAAGGTAAGAGTTTGTTCACTGTTAGTAACCACATTTTTCTTCTTTTAAGTAGGAACACTGTTAATATTAACTGTTAGTTCATTTAAGGTAAAGCTACTCAAGGCAGAGTCATGGAGCACTATTTCTAACACTGCCTGCAAGGTATTGACGAATGGGAAAATTGTCACATTTTTGGCCCTCCTCCAGCTATAGAGTGGAAAGATGCTCAAAGGATCAAGCATGCCCGAAGTGGACGGCCCTCCCGGGTGCCATCACAGTACCAAGGTAAAAAACCCACAGTAGCGATTAAATATATAGGCAAGGCAAATTTATTTTTGTGTACTAGACAGTTCAAAGTGCTTTACAAAGAAATGGATCAAAAGTGAAGGGTGCTGATAAAATGCATTCATTTTCCATATGCACAGTTAAACTGTCTCACCTCTTCAGGAAGACTGTTCTAGATTTTAGGAGCATGACCATTCTAGCAGGATTCTTCTTCTTCATTCTTGCAGGACACTTCAGTTGGGAGAAATACCTGAAGGAGACCGGATCAAATGCAGCTCCTGCTTCATGTTTCAGACAGGTGAGCAGATCTTTAATAATTAAACAGTCGTAATATAATACATATGTACTTTCTTTTCCAGACTGTGAGTCCTATTTTTATTCCTAATTTGGCTGCTCCTGTGACTTATGTCAAAATATATTACTTGAACCGAGAGGTAAATGTTAACGTCTACAGCTGCTAGAGGGCACTCTAGGCTTGTGACAGAAACATTCTGCTCCCCCACCACTGAAAAAATGAAATGAGTAGAATGAGATCAGGAGCTCAGTGGATTTGCTTACCAGATAGTAATTTGTTGGACTAGCTGGCTCGTTCTGTAAATTTAGCATATGCAGTCTGCCAGGTCTGTTCTTTATGCTGCAGTAGTGCTGAGGAACTTGCCTTTCCAGATAGAATGTCTGTTCATGGACTTGGATTTTGTATACAAGTTTGTAAATGAACACGTTTTATAGTCCTGCACCACTTGTGTAAGGTTTCTTTCATATTCATGTCGCCATCTAGAGCCTCACACCTCCAGTTAATGAGTTCAAAGCGGGCATGAAGCTGGAGGCGCAGGACCCGCGCAACACCACCTCCACCTGCATCGCCACGGTGGTGGGCCTGACGGGCTCGCGGCTGCGGCTGCGCCTGGACGGCTCGGACAATAAGAACGACTTCTGGCGTCTGGTCGATTCCTCAGAGATCCAGCCAATCGGCAACTGTGAAAAGAACGGAGGCATGTTACAGCCACCATTGGGTGAGAGCACAGTGAAACGCCAGCTTTTCTTTCACTGCCATGCAAAGTAAAAAAATGTCTGATGGAAGCTCTTTACTAAATTCATAGTTTTGAAAAATGTATTTCTATGTGTTATATGTTTCTTTCCTTTTTTCTTGGTTTAGTCCTCGGCTGCTCAGCTACTGACAGCAGAGAATAGTAGTGCATCATGTCACATACTTATGGAACACGGTTTAAAAGCTTGCCTAAGTCTTTTCAGGACTGAATTATCTATGCAGCTTAGTTATGTTGCTTCCAAATGCTGTTTCAAATGTATTTTTATGTACTGGCAGAAAAAGAACGCCTCTACATAAGGTTATTATATATTAATGTAAAGGTGATGTTTGCCTTTTATCTAAGCAATAGTCCTAACCTCAAAATCATCACATTCGACTGGATTAAACATGGAAAAAGAGGCAAATGTTTAATTTTAAAGGAAATGGAGGCTTTTTTTAACCTTTAAAAATGACAATAACCCAAATACCTCCGTATGTTCCCCTAAATTACAAAAAATCTGCAGTGTTTTTTTCTTTATAAAGCAGAGGTGTCAAACTCAAATTCACAGGGGGTAAAAAATCGGGCCATATATAATTGTATTGCGGGCTGGATCTGGGCTTGAGTTTGACATATGTGTTATAAAGTCACACTAGATCATGACTTAACCCCTCTTCAAACTGTCTTCAGGCTTCCGCCTCAATGCGTCTTCCTGGCCCATGTTCCTGCTGAAAACACTCAATGGGGCTGAAATGGCACCTTCTCGCATTTTTCACAAGGTACCTGTACAAAGCTCTCCAGCTCAAACTTACACAGACATACAAGCAAACATAGAAGTTGTTTGACCATTATCTAGCAAGTTTTTTTTGTTTCTTAAAATATCGATTTATCTTTTCCATGAAATAGTTTACACATAAATACACATAATTTCCCCAGAATCTGTCGCCTCTTGAGTAATGACTCTCAGGCACATTCCTTCATCTCTTAATGTTCCCCAGCAGGAGCCTCCCGCTCCAGAGCAGAACTCCTTCCAAGTGGGCATGAAGCTGGAGGCAGTTGACCGGAAAAATCCCCACTTCATCTGCCCGGCTACGGTGGGCGCTCTGCGTGGCGTGGAGGTGCTGGTCACCTTTGATGGATGGCGCGGAGCCTTTGATTACTACTGCCGCTACGACTCGCGGGACATCTTCCCAGTTGGATGGTGTACCCTCACAGGAGACAATCTTCAGCCGCCCGGCAGCAAAGGTGTGGGCCACGAGCACAGAAAGCTTTGTGCATGGTTGCAGGGGTTTGAATTGGTAAAACAGATTCATTAACAATTAGAAGTTTTCTGTGGGAGCGTCTTAAACCAGGAACTAAATGTTGCTAGTGAGTATACTGATGAAGCTGAAACAGTGTTATGTGAAGTTTTTAACATCAGACAGTTAAAAATGTAACATAATGCAACACGAGGGCTCCCCTGCACGTACCATTAGAGCGCACTCGGATACAAAATAAACTGTTTCGCTGGTACTCCATTAACCTTCAGAAAATGGTCCAACCTAAAGCTATGCTTTGTTTAACCTAAATCAGGCCTAAAAAAACAAGACTTTTTAAAAGTGTTCTGACGCTCAAAGTGGACAAAAGACAAGAGGTAATGTCAGTTTATTTTAAAATCAAAATGAAGATTTGTTGCTGAGGTTTTGTTGTCATTTTTTTTTTAAAAAGGAAAGGAAAAAAAATATGGAAAAATGGCTTTGCTTTGAACACTTTTTTATTTACTGCTCCTGAGCACCCTGCTGATGCTTCTCTCCATGTTGTAAACAGCCATTCCCTGCTTGCACCAGCCAGACCTGCCATGTCTCATTGTTCAGAAATTAGTCAGTTCTTTCTGCACAGACTGTCCTCTTTGAATTGATCAGTAACAGAGTGGAGATGGGTTGCCAAAAATTCCCATCTGGTCAGTCAAAATTACATCTCAAACACATGGCAGTGGAAACTAAGAAAATAAGTTTTAAGCTCCACACGTTTTTTTAATAGATTTATTTGGGTAGAGAAAAATGCGCAGCTGGCATTATGTTCCTTAATGATATGACATGGGAGAAATAGATGTTAGTTTTAATAACTTCTGTTGTAGAACAACTCATATCCAGCTGAAGTCGCTCCTGGATTGGGACATGTTCCTTCTATTTTGCCCTGTTACTGTAAAACAAGGCAGAGTTTTTAAAATTTAGCAATCCTTAATCCTGCCATCTGTCCTTTAAGCCCCCCTTCAGCTCAGCACAGGCGTGTGCACACTCCTGGTGAGACACAAAGCAGTCAGTAAGGCTCAAAACCCCTTCACCCACCAGGTTCTCATACTTGCAAAGACCTCATTGCACCGAAAACAGGGGGAATGCTCACAGTCACTGAGAGCAAAAGTCCAGGAGAATTACAAAATCCTAACTCAAATTAATGAACTGGTTTGATTCGTACCTTTTTGTGGTGTTTAGGAGGTTTAACTTTAGCTCTCCTTGAACCCCTCAGGGAAGTTCAACCTTAATTGTTGTTTTAAGGTACTTTTTTCATTTAGCACAAATGTCACTTTCAGTCAGTGGTCACTTAAAGCGGCTGCATGTAAGAAGTCAAAGCAACGTAAACCATGAGATGTAGGAAAAACTTGGAGGGACAGAAAACTGATCTGTTAAACTGAGGACATTAAAGGAAGAGGAGGAAAAAATGGTTATCAGCCCAAGGTCAGCTGTCCACAGAATGTTAAGGAGTGAAGGGAGGCAGGAAAACGAGGAGGCAGGGACGTGTCTTTGTAGCTTGCTAGTGTTTTATGAAGGTCTGGCACTCACCCAATTGGCAGAGGAGGCCGTGACGTAGTTGGAACGAGGCCGGGTGCCCCTCGACAGGCCTCCCTCTGGCACCCCGGTCGCCAGAGTCTGATCAGACACCTTTTGGAAGAATTGCGTTAGGACACGTGACGAAAAAAAGAAGAGAAAAGATAGGCTTCTGCTGTGAAAGGTAGACTGTTTACATTGTCACTGGATGGTGGGAGGAGAGAAGAAGAGACGGGTGGAAAGAGTAGAGGAGGAGCAAGGCAGGGGAAGTGAGGGAGAAGAGGACAGGGCAGGAGGAGAAGAGGGTGAATCTGAGGACAGCTGAGCAGGCAACCACACATTTTTTTTCCTTTTCTTTGAGGAGCAGGGTGAGTAAAATGAATGAAATTACAAAATGCAGCCATGGAGCGATAGATTAAAGGCTTTTGTAAAGTTGTGTTGCTGTAATATGAAGCTGGCGGTGGTGGCTTTGTGAACTCGGTGAACCCGGTGAACTCGAGGGAGAGGGGAGAAAAACGCGGGTTTGCCTCTCATGCATTTGTTAAACTGTATTTACAAGAACTCCAACTGATCGTAAGCTGAAGCTGCTTACACCTTTAGACGCGTTTTCAAGGATTCGGCCACTCTGTGTATGATCAATCAGCTCCTGTGTGTATGTGTGTGTGTCTGTTTTTTTTCCCCCTGGTCTTTAATGGGACTCCCACATGAAAAGCAGCAGTAGCCTGCAGAGTGAGCTTTGCATTGATTCATGTGCCTGTTTTGAATGTATTTAATAAATTCAGAACCCCAGGCCAAAAGCTGGGCTAATGATTGTGAGTACGGCACAGAAACATGTCCCATGTGGATCCAGAGTGGATACAGGATTATAGTAGTCTGTTCCGTGTGTGTAGGAGAGCGCGAGGACACTCGCAGGTGCATTAGAAGCCAGATGTCGTAACTTTACTGTGCTTCCCTTTTCCGAACGGTCGCTTTTGAATGCACTCATCATCAGCGTTGCCGGTTGTGAAGACTTTGAGAAGGTACACAGCTTTCCTGGTTGGTTTTTCTGTGTTTGTTACAGGCCGTCTCTTAATGTTTTTACAGGTGTTCGTTGGCGTAGTGGTAAGTGGAGTTTTAGAAATGCTCCTCATCAAGACGAGAAGTGTGTGCGTTCCTGGGAGGGAGTTCAGTAGATAAATTTGAAGGCTGCTCCGCAGCTGTCTGCGGTTTACTTCTATATTTGGGTTTAATCTACAGACTGAAAAAGGTGTCTGCACTTATTTTCTTGCTTGCCAGCAGGCTCTCGAAAGTGGTCAGGGGAGATCTGTCTTTAACACCCGTGCTCTGTACGAGCGGTTCATGTCACAACTGTCGCATGCATTTTCCCAGCAGATGATTTTGGTTTATTTGCTTTAGTTTTTAGGAAAACTACAAATAAAAGAATCTGTTTGAATTGAATTTCACTAAAGGACTGAACCAGTAACCCAGCTGATGAACTGCAAATGAGATGTTTTAAGAGGGTTTGGATAAAACTCATGCAGTCATTCATTTAAATAGTTTAAATAAATAAATTGGGTAACGTTCCATTTAATTGTGTTTGCTAAAAAAGTTTGGATTCATGGAGCGGTGCAACCTCTTCGCCTCATCACATTTTCATTATCTTCTCCTGTCCGCTGTAACCAACATTATCCTGAGAGATGAATCGTCTGCAGGCTTGGAGTTGAAGGGGCGTTAAGAGGAGAAGTGCATCGAGTGTTTGACCTTCCTCACTGTAGTGCAGCTGGAAGATGTTTAAGCGTTCTAAGCAATCTGGATTTTTTTTTTCTTTTGGACTAAACAAACCAAATGAGGTAATGCCACTTGTGATGAAAAATGTGACAATTTTGAGTTAAAGAGATGTGCTCACAGAAGGCGCTTTTTCACACACGCACACCAGAGATGTTTCACAGCGCGTGTGGACAGTTTGGACAGACGTTTTCCTCAGTTGCTGGTTCCACTCCTCAGCGGGAGATGAACCGCACTCTCACAGCTAGAGGTGTTAGAGAGTTGTGCTGGGCACAAAGGTATGACGTGTTGCAAACAGCACGCCGTGGAAATCACTCTTTTCTTCATCTCACATCAGGAATTGATGAATGTTTGGCCGTAAAATGTTGTGGTTATAGTCACATGTCCTTCCAGAAAATTCCTAGAAAATGCCTATAGGGGAACTCTCATGTCTTTATTCAGCCTTTCTGTATGTTTGTGTAGCAAAGCAACTTTGGTATTTTAAATAATTCAGGATATTCAGTGAACAAATATTTGTGTCTCAGCCTGGTTTTTAAGCTCATGGAACCTCCCAGGTGACAAAAGGAAAACTAATGCTTATCCAAGTGGGATTGTGTGTCTGTTAATCTTTTGCTGACTTAGTGGTGCTGCCCAAAAGCCTTGGCACACCGACAGACGGAAGTGGGGAGAGCCCAGCCATGAATCCCACGCCCACGGTGGGCAGACCTCCAGGTCAGAGAGGGCGTAAGCCAGGACGCAGGAAAACCAAAGTGATGGCGCCCTGGAGTCAGAAGGCTCCTGCACTGGGACAGAGCCTCCAGCCGGCCAAAAGCCTGGAGACCATCAAGATCCCCAAGAAGAGAGGACCCAAGCCTGGCAGCAAGGTGGGTGTTCATCCATCCTGTTCTGGCAGCTCTCCAAATCACATTAAGTCAGGCTCACCCTAGTAGGAAAAAGTTTTTTAAAAATACCATTTCACTTCTTTTTAAGTTATGTTACAGTGGCGCCATTTGCACATGTATTGTTTTATGCTACTTTTTCATCTCTTTTATGTAGCAAGACATGAGGGATGACGCATTGTGTTATGTTTGCAGCTGGGCTGGGCAAAAAGAGCAGGCTGGTTGGAGGAGGCAATGGGCGGCCCGGGGCGGCCGTTGACTGGACCAGGGCGCACCAGAGGAAGACTGCCTGCCAACTGGGCGCAGAGGATAGCTCTGCAGCAGGCTCAGACACCGGCGGAGCCCATTAAGATCCCAAAGAAGAGGGGGCCCAAGCCTGGAAGCAAGGTAGCCGTCCAGCACAAAGTCAGACGCACTAAACTGACATGTTAGCGGCTATATACCTCCCCAGCCAGTAAAACCCGCCAACATTTGAGCAAGTTTAACAATTGTCATAAATGAAGAACTGTCAAAAAAAACAAAGACTTAATTGTGTCTTTTTGTGTCACGTTAGCAGCATCCAGCTGCGTGTTTGCACAGCAGGTAACTGCACTCGTCAGGTCCCAGCAGGAGATGAGATAACATTGTGTTTCACTCATCCTAAAATGCAACATAAGACTCCCATTAGATGCTGGATATCACACTTTTCACATCTGATTTCACACTCAATACCCATACGGCGTGGCTGCGTCTGAATGTGTGTGTTTCTATACAGAGAAAACCACGAGTGGTTCCTAATCCAGTCCCCACGTCTCCCACCAGCAGCACACCAGAACCCGACACCAGCACTGTGCCCCAGGACAACGCCACCATCCCCAACTCTGCACTTCAGGCTCCCACAGGTACTCAACTCCACAGGGACATTGGTATTCATGGGTTTTCTTTGACATGCTTTCAGCTCATTTTAGGCAGGCTCCAGGCTTTATTTTATTTTATCTTAAAAAGAAACAAAAACATGGCAAGGATGGTCATAGTGTTATTACACATGAATAAATTAATCAATGGGATGAATCTGTCATAAACTGTCTTCTTTCTTATAGTTTGTGTGTACCTAAACAAGTACGGGAAGATGGGACCCCATCTGGACCATCGGCGTATCCAGAAGCTCCCAGATCATTTCGGCCCCGGCCGAGCCTCCTCAGTGCTTCAGCAGTGTGTGCAGGCTTGTGTGGACTCTGCCCACAACCAGGCCACTGTCTTCTCCTGCCTCAAGTCTGGACAAGGAGGCGAAGTCATTTCAGGTGCAGACATTATAGATTTAGTTTGCTAAATATACATAAATATATATAAATGTATATATAAATTTACACTGAAGATTAAGGAAGGGAACCTAATGTGCTGTTGTTTTCTGATCCTCAGCCTTTTTTGACCAGCAGCAGCACACTTTAACCCTCCCGACAGTGAGCAGTGTCACTTACGTACTCCGCTTCCTGGAAAAGCTCTGCCACAATCTTCACTGCGACCCTCTGTTTGGCAGCCAGCCTGTGGCCAGAGGAGCTCTGAACTACGACAGCCTCTCATACTCTGCAGGTCAGATCTGTTCTTTTTTTCACAAGTTCATTTAGTCAATTCAGGATTCTTCTTTGTTGTTGTTGTTGAAGACATAAAATCCCAAATGGCATTCTTATCATTCTAGCCTAAAAATATTTTTCTACCATTCAGTCTTTTCATATTGAATGTACAATGTGTTTTTCCCCATTCATTTTCTATCCCAGCCACCGTCATTAGATGCACATATGCCTGGAGTAGCTATTGTCGTTGATTTTTAAGTTGGTAAAAGTTTATTTGGAATCTTTTTCTGCGCTTACGTATTCTCTCTACCTCACACAGCAAAGATGTTGCAGGAGCATCTGAGAGGAGAGACTAATGTAGCTATGAATACACGACGGAGCAGATTCACACGGCTCTGAACTCAGGGCAGCGAACATGAAATACCAAGATTTAATCAAATGTTTGTGTTGTTTTATTGCAGAGAACAGCGTAGCTCAGAGACAACTAAATCCATTTTATCAGGCCACTGACTCCTACTTGGAGTGATTTTTGGCATTAAATTAAATTGGCCTCCACTGGCTGCCGTGGTTGCATAACTTTAAGGGGAACGTAAGCTTGTATTGGTTCACTTATCTGTATCTCCATCACATTAATCATCCTGCGTGTTACTCCACATGGTGCTGTAGCCTCTGGCTGCGTCAACTGATGTCCTGCCCTCAATGTGTATTTGTTTTAGAAAGAAGGAGTTTTGGAGACAGCCTGACCACGGGCCCAGGCCGAGGTACCAAGCGCTTCCTTCAGGACTTCAGCGGTCCCCTTTCCCAGAAGCTGACAAAAATCCCACGTCACTCCGATGGTACGCTCACCATTACTTTAAAGTAATGGATGAGAGCTCATGTCACACGCACACAACTCTTTTTGCACTCAGAAGAAACATCAACCATAATAGTTAGAGTGAAATCCCTGCATTTTTCAATTCTGTACATGCGTATAAACATGCATTAAACAGACCTCAAAGTCTCAATTTGCTTAAGGTTTCTGTTTATGCATGTATTTATTCATACAGTAAGTGTCTCTCAGTTCCAGCTCTGCACCACATTTTATGTAAAACAATTCCATTTTGAAAATTGACTGCCCTGACAGTCCAATAAAGGTTTGAATAATTATATAAGAGGAGGTGGTCCATGGCTCAGGAGCAAGTGGAATTATGTTTAGGGGGCAAGAGGTTAATCATTTAATCACTTTTCAATTTCCTTCAATTTTAATTAAGTTAATGGAATATTTGAAGAGATTTCTATAAAAGGGTAACACCCCCTAAAACTGCCCTCGTGCTTTTACTGAAGGTCGTAACACACTCAAAGCGCGGCGTTGTTCTCTGTGTCAGAGCCGCATCGTTATGGCTGTTCCACTGTCACGATGTTCTTTTTTTCCTCCTCCTTCTTCCATCTGCCGGCTCCATTTCTGATATTTTGACTGACGCATCGGTCTTGTCCACAGGTGATTCATTCATCGGGAGCAGTGTTGCAGCACCGGAACACTTAAAGAAGAGCCCCCTCTCGCCAAACTCTTCTGGACTGCTAGCCGGCCTCAGGTCTCCTTCAAAGCTGCTCCGTCACAACAGCTCAACAGGTAGGAACGTCACTGGTCAACAAATGTTGGTGTGACTGGCATTCCAGTTGTTGGAATCAATAGAATGAAGTCAGGAATGACAGATGACAAATCCAGTGAGTGTTTTTCTGGATGGATTTTGCCCTCTCAGGCTCAGGCGGTTTCCGGGAGAGCCCGAGGCCCAGCGGTCAGGATCCAAACCTGTGGACGGTGGAGGAAGTCATGCAGTACATCAGAGACATCGACCCCGTGCTGGCTCCACACGCTGACCTTTTCAGGAAACATGTATGTTTGGATTCCATGCTTCAAATAACTGCATTGCTCAGCCTTTTTCTTTCTGCTTTCTATCAGCATTTCTCAGTCATTTCAGTTTAGTGATCCAACAGATCGTAGAATGATACTTCAAACATCTGTTTCTGTGTCGTATTTTGGGTGTAAATGAAAGACCTGACACAAAAAAAAAAAGTGAGATATGCCCTGTGTGTTTTTCTCTCAGGAAATTGACGGTAAAGCCCTCCTGTTGCTGCGCAGCGACGTGATGATGAAATACATGGGTTTGAAGCTCGGCCCTGCCCTCAAACTAACCTTCCACATTGACAAGCTCAAACGGGCATAAGGAGGTCATCAGCCAATCGCAGCCTTCCAAAAGACTTCTCTTTCGCCCTATCTCCTTCTTCTAGTCAGTATTTCATGCACTTCATCATGGACACGTACTGACCATTTACATGTAGCAGCGTCCATCGGACCACCATATCTGGTCCCTGTACTTCCTGTTGTTGCCTCATATAATGAGGGATAACGTTTATTTGATGTAGCACAATCCAGCTCAAAGCAGCATGGAACACGAAACAAGACCCACTTGTCCACATTTGCATTTCAGTATAACTTGAAGACTCGTGGCCATTTTTACTGTCTGAGGCTCAGCAGCCTGCTTTTAATATGTTACATTTAATCAGTATGTTGAAATATTTTGTACTTCATGAATATAATGACATTTTTTTCAACATTTTGTGTTGGAACGTACGAAACCCTAAAAGTAGAAAAGAGAACACTACATTCATCCCAATAGTTGGGATTTTTTTTTATTAGTCTCAGTTTGAGGCATGACTTTGCAACTACAAGACACATTCTGAAGAGAAAGCATGAGGGGAACGAGAGCAAAGCGTTGTCCTTTAAATCGTTCTCCTGGAAATACTGCCATGAGGAAATGTGTTTTATTATCTTATTCTAACTGTTGTTTACAATGTTTTGTCCATGTTATTTGTACTTTTTTAATTTTTTATACTATATGACTAGAGTTCCTACACGGAGAGCCCTATCATGATTAACATGTTTAATAAATATATCACAAGTCTACTGTTTTGTTTTTTATTTTTGTTTCTTTTTTTGTTTGTTTTGCAATGTCAGAAAAAAAATGTAGTTGTTTTTATGTTGTTAAGTCTCTTGTCAGATTTTTTAAAATTCATTTATTTATATTAAAACATGTTTTCACTTCATTGGGTCGTTTCACAAAGATTTATGCCTGCAAATGTAAAAAACAAAAGTAAGTTTGGGTAGCCCCACGTTGTTAAGGCTGCAGATGAACCAAATGTCCACCAGCAGAGGGCAGAACCACTCCTTATTTAGTCATTCCTCATTTCTCTCAGACTGCTGACATATACTACCACGGGTGGCAATCTCTCCATCTGGCTGTCTCACCATGACAATCTGATGTTTTTATTTCATGTAACTACATCATGTGCTCGTCTCTATTATCAGTGTTTCTGCTATTTTGCTCATAATCTATCTTATTCTGTACTATTTAAAGACTGTCCTTAGGCTCATTGTAAGATAGGAAAATAATTTTATGGTTAAAATGATTTTCTATCTCCACAGTTATAAAAGAAATCCAACACGCACACTCTCTCCCTCAGTAAAGAAAAGAGTGTCAGTGTCTCTGAGAATATTCTGCTGTTTTTCAGCTGCAAGTTTATACAAGACTCTTAATTGAAAGGGTTTAAGTATTTGAACAAACCTACCCTGAGATTTCCAAACCGCACTAATATAACCTAGTCATGCAATAGAAGCAACTTTTGAAACCACATGGACATCCCTCCAGAACCCATTGTCTGTGCAACCCAACCTTGGGCAAAGTGGCAGACTGTATTTGATTAGATTAGCTGTTTGTTGGCTAAAAGCAATTAAAAACCCTTTGGCTGTCCAGCCTAAACCAAAGTTTTTAAATGTATATTAAAATACATTTGTCTAAATATGGATAAATATATATGTACTGATATTCTATATGTTATTACATGTGTATATATATTAGGAAATCAAATTAAAGAGCTTAACTTAAACAGCTTGGTAATCAAACCAATAATAGAAATAGACTCAAACAAGCCTAGGCAATCCACTTAAATACTAAAAAATAGAAAGATAGATCTATCTTTATAGAAAATAATTCTGATTGAAGGGAGACATGACAGACACTCTTACGTAGTTCTGTGAAGTATTGTTCATTCTATTTCTGGTAAATATTGTTGTCTGTTTTATTCACACATGACGGGGTGACTGAGCATGTGGGCAGAAACGTACGCCTACCGAGCGACTCAGCACCCAACAGAAAATCTAACCACACCCTCTGAGTCAAAGCAGGAAAAACACACCACATCATGCTGAAAACACTGACCAAGCCCAGCACACAAGCGATATGAATGCCTGCCTGTTTGTGTGAGCATATGACACACACAATCTGTGCTGCGCTTGTTATGCTCAGACACATGTGACGAGCTCAGAGCTCGTGGCTGGTGCCTGTCGATGTGTAATAGTAACCCATGTGTTATCCACAAAGCTGGTTTTATTTAGAGAAATAACAGCTCCTCGGGCTGCTTATTGTATTTGTGGAGGCTGTGTAGTCAGTCTTCATTTTAGCTTCTAACACTAACCAAGGAATTTTTTATCAGTTGCCGCTATTGTTTTGCTCAGTCTTTGTCGTGACACAAAGTGACATTTGGGGAAATCCTGCCCCGGATACTTACCATTTATCTTCTGTAAAGGCTCTGTTTTCTGCCTCTAAGAAGCTGAGACACTTTCAGTATGTGTAAAAAGGATGTTTTACTGAGTCGGAGATCTGTCATGACCATGAGAGAGGAGAAAAAGATATGGCATAAAGGGGCCGTATTTTTCATGGAACAAGCCTGATATGTTGTATTCTGCAGACAGTTGAATTGTGAGCACAGTGTGGGAGAGGCAAAACAAAAATAAAGTGTGTGCTCCACCGCCTTATCTCCAACTGACACTAGAAATCCCAGCATGCCTTGGGCATTCACATTTCATTGAGTTTGTGGGTCCTGGTGTTCTTTTAAAACCCCATGCCTTTGAATTTCTTTGTTGGCTTGATCCTTACATCATTCTTCCCTGATATTACATGACCATAACTCCTCAGTAATTGAGCCAATTGTTACTTATGTGACAAGGATGAGCCTGAAGTGGCAATTGTTTTACGTCATTCTTTATAATTCCAATTTGTTGCACAGTTGCTGGGTCGTGAGTTGATGTAATATTATTCAGTTCTTTGTGTGACGGGTCAGTCCTCGAACAGCATTCAAGGGTTTATATAATCAGCTTAAAGGGGATAAAAGGTGAATTGGCACACATCTCAAAGAAATAATAGATTAAGTCTTTTTAAACCTCTATATTTACATACTCAAAAAAACAAAATCTAATGTGACTCTAGCCTGATTTGGAGAAAATACCTGTGAGAAAGTAAGTTTGCTCACCCAGTCAAACCTCTGCCTGCATATGGTCTGCGGATCATCATCGGGGATGTTTTTTCTATATTGGAAGTTTAAACAGCAGCATGGGGGATTCAATCAACAAGTCAAAAGAAAATAGGGGTCAACACCTTGAGAATGAAATTAAATAGATAAATGAGACCAAATAAAGCCCAGCTCACTAAATCATTGGCTCAATATAGTGCAGACTGGCATGAATAAGCAATGAGTCAACCAATCAACATGCATTTTATCATCCCACAATGTTGAAATATATTGATTCCACCTGTGGGAGAACAGTTATCAAGTCTGGCAACAACCGTTCAGTTGCCCCAACTGCAACCCCACCCACCTCCTGCATTCTGTTACACGCTCTTTGGGAGCATGTGCTTGTTGCTGTCACCACCAGCTTATCACACAGGCTTAAAGCTCTGCTCACAGAGACACTGTGTACAGAACATAAACTGTGCTAATACCGTTCCTACTTCTCTTCCAGCCTATGACTCTCCCGGGCCAGCCCGAATCATTTCCCTGCTGGTGTTAAACAGGTCAAATAAAATGGTGTTATAGGGCTGGATGTGTCACAGTTGAGAGGAAAATTCCACAAAGGCGTTGTGGTAATGACAGCTTTGTGTCTAAGCAAGCAAAGATGTACAGTTTTTAGCCCAAAGTGTGACATTTTTTTAAGGTGATTTTTGTTTTATGATGCACACGTGTGCATCATAGACAGTGCTGTCTCTCTGTCTGTTAAATGATAACTCATTTCAGTCTTCCTCTGAATCATACTTAGCCGAAAAAGGTGTCCTAAGGTTATTTCCATGTCTGAATTTCCCTGAAAAAACAAATATATATGTATACAGTGGGGGAAATAAGTATTTGACCCCTTGCTGATTTTGCAGGTTTGCCCACTTACAAAGAATGCTTATTTTTCCTCATCAGATGGTTATCAATTTTTATAAATTCATATGATGTGATTTTCTGGAATTTTCTTTGGGATTCTGTCTTTGACTGTTAGAATGTACATATGATTAAAGTTATATAGATTGTTGCATTCTTTGTAAGTGGGCAAACCTGCAAAATCATCAATGGGTTAAAGACTTATTTCCCCCACTGTATATACCTGCTTGACCTCAGCATTAACTTTTTGTCTACTGTGCAAAGCCCACAAGCCTTTAATATTTACCACCTTTAACAATGTCGGGCCACCTTGATGTGTTTGAGCTAGCCTGGCGGAGAAGTATCAGCTGTGGGCAGGGAAATAAATTATTTACACCCCCTACCTTTGACTTCAAAGAGCTGGCAAATCACTCAACCCCAGATTTGGGGAGTGGAGGGGGGTCAGAGGAGGAGTTACTTGTCACTAGGCAACCTCTATGTCACCTGCCCCAACATGCCAGAATCAGCTACTTACCTCTAGAGGCTACCAGAAAAAAAAAGGCACACAGCTGCTTTTAAAAGCCGTCTGTCTCGAACTCGCTTGGAAAACAAACTCAAATATTACTGACCAAGTTGAGAATTATTATCGTAATGTAGATGAAGAGGATGCAGAACGTTTTATGCAGAACCTTAGAGGATGGGAAGGAAGTGTCCGATGAGATCACATGTCAAGCGGAGACGCAAGGTGACTGTTCAGCCAGAAAATCAGGAAGTTCGGCTTGAGCAATATGTCCACTGTATGAACCCTGCCCTGAAGGGGCTGCTGTTTATTTGCCCCCTGACAACACAAACACACGTGCGCACAATGTGAGCGAAAAAGCATGCCAAAAAAGGCCACAAACTCCCTTGTTGAAGCAGGCAGGCTCAAACACGCCCTCTCTTCATATAGCGTTCACACACAGAAGAGAAATATTCCCCTGGTTGGCCATAAATGTCCCACCCATTCAAACTAAGAAACTCAAATGCTATCTTCTCACTTTTTCTGCTCTTCGTGTACATTTCACTCTTGCTTGACGGTTGTGAAATGAAATTACGGGCACTACTTAGTGTAGTCATACCGTTTCAAAATGACAACACCCATTTACATCATTTAAACGCTTCTGCCCTACTCACTCCCACTGCTGGAAGGGCTGAAATCTAGCAGCACTGCAGGTGAGGGTATAAGCATCACCACGAGCAGAGATGGGACATAAATCTTTTATCTTCCTCGCTTGCTCCGCACTGATACCGAGGTGTCCCTGCTAGCCTGTTTGATCAGGTTATGGGTGGATTCAGTGCGACTGTGTGTGCGTGTATGTGTGTGTGAGTGAAGATCTGGCCATGCGTGACAACAGCAAATGACCACCTATCCGTCATTGGCACTGAGACCAGAGATTAACACTAGCTCAGGCTTGGCACCAGCTGGACCAGAGCCTGGAAAGAGAGGACGAAACACTACTTGTGCTGTAAATGTGCAAATCTAGGACTGGAGGGAGGAATGTGTGGCAGATTGCTTTTAGCGTGTCATTTTCATTGAAGTTTTTTTTTTTTTTAGTTTGTTTTGTTTGATGGAATCACATAAGTGCTGTGGGAAAACCCAGCAAAGAAATCCTCACCATTAACATAAAAAATGGAAAAAAAAAATCCCTCCAGCTACCGTCAAATAGCTTCTAGGTGATCCTCGCATTTTCTCGTCCCCCTTCTCATCGCTCGTCCGTTTTTCAGTTTGTCTGTTTGAGAGTGTGGCTTTTTTTACGTCTGACTTGCATTGAGAAAAAACGGCAAGCCGCCACAGGAAGACACGGTGTTGTGTCGAGTGGTTTCTGTGGGTGGGCTGAAGACAAAGTCAGCCAGAAACCCAGAAGTAACCGTCTCAGCGTCCCCACCCTGCTTAGCCTGCGTCTAGACTGGCCTCTGAGAGGCGGGCGGCAGTCATAACAAGGGATTGGGCGCGCAAACATGGTTGTTTGGCGCAGTTTGCCAATCCGTTGTCGCTATCAAGGTACAAAAACCCGCTAGATTTGATTGGGGCAAAACAAGGAGCTCGCAGGGAAACCTGCAATTATGAGATCTGCGAGGAGACAGAGATCTGCGCGTGTGCCAGCACGGTCCATGTGCCGCACACCAAAAGACCATCTCAACAGACCTACAACCGTCACTACGGCATGTGCCAAGGCTGTTGGCCTACTTTCGAGCCCGTCCCTTCGCTCGTCAGAGTCAAGTCAATGAAATCTACTCCGGTGCTCCTCTTAAGTCTTTGAGGAAACAAAATTGCTCGGCATAAAAGGCACATTCACGTCAGTCTGGATCATCAGTGAAATCGTGTTTCAAACCGAGCACTTCATCAACACAAGCGCTGGAACGAGCTGATGGGGCCGCCACGAGAGCCACGGCGACTTAAAAAACTGAGCAATCAGCTAACAGTATTTTTTTTTTTTTTTTACAACGGCGCTTTCGTTTCCCGTTGTTACTCACAACGCCACTAAAGACACCTTTGTTGACAGAGTGGAACGCTAACTGTGGCGGTGACATTCCCAACATGACCTCAATCAAGCATTTTCACCGCCTGAAGGCACAAAACAATTCAACAAACCCTGCCTCCTCAGAGAATCCCTTTACCCTCATTTCATAATGAATGCGATTATATTAGGAGAATTGCTTTACTCCTCCAACTGGCAGTGGCACAGACTGGCGAGGGGCTGTTTTGAAAGAGCATTAAGTCATTTTTTACAGCCGCTGCTTACAACCCTTGTTTCTGTTCTGCGTATGCTAAGTCAGTTAAACCTATCAAAGCAAACATAATTATATCTCCCTGCATGCACTCTTAAATACAGCATGTAAACAACAGGATGGGATTTAACAGAGAACCCAGCATTAGTCAAAATGTTTTCATTTGCAAGGTTTAACCGACAATGTATTTTTGTCATAACATGAATACAAGTTAAGTGTCCTGCGAATGGCATTTGCTTAGCAAGAAACAGAGAAACCAATTTGTACGCCTCTGCATCAAATGTAAAATGAGATGATCAATGACAAATAACTGCGCTCCCTTCTTGCCAACCAGGAGAGAAATGTAATCATAATGATCCGTCATTCACATTATTACCAGTGGCACCGAGCGTTCAGCAACGATCACAGTGAACCCAGCAGATCTAGCCTGGATACCCCCCCCTCAATAGATCATAAATATTTCACGTTAAAACATCCCAGTGCCAGATTAGAGCGAAAGCAGAGGTTTCCATTCACCCACAGGTTAATCAAAGCAATTTGCTAGCTTTTTGCTGCCTAAGGGAAGAGCTATAGAATGAATGGAAAAGCAGGCCACACTTCTATCCAGGCCATTTTTATTGATCCTCAAAACCCCCTTTCACAATGACCATCCCCCAATCTTGACCACAAAAAAGGGGAACAATATAAACAAACAATAAATAAAAATCTGTGATTAAGGCGGTTCTACATCTCCAATAGAACACAACAGTGTGGACATGTTGGAGTTATACAGCTTCATACAGTACAAGCAGTTGATTTTTTTTTTAGAACATCCAATGGTAAAGTCTGGATGACACCCCATTCAAACGAGACAACATTGTATTTCTGTGATTGAAAAGACAAAATAAGAAATCCATGCTCCTTTTGGATGGCATTGCCACCTGAGCTTATTTCAATACCAAGCCAAACATTATGGGTGAAAAATTAGGAGAAGAAAACTTAAAACTAGCATTTCTCCCCAAACCTACTCTCAGAAAAAAAAAATAGAAACCACTTTGATCCCAAAACAGACGGTGGTTCATCTTTATAGCAGTTTTCTCAGATAGGAATAAATAAATACACCTTTTTACTGGTGAGCTATTTTGGAGTCCTAGAGTCTTAGAGGCTACATAGTGTCACGGAATTGTTCAGAGTGGCTTTTAAGAATTTCAGCATCACTTTATTACATTCATGACCAGGAAATAGGAGTAGAGGAACCAGGCTTTGAAGTCAGCAAGCCTCCTGCCATGAATGGAACACAAGACTCAAACGTTGTGCGCTCGCAGTGGATATCCAGCGTTCTCTTCAGTGCCACCCGCACTGCAGCCTCAGTTTAGCCGTACGGAACTCGGAAGTTGGAAAAAATCGAAGAGATGATCTCTTTTTCCTTTATCCGTCCTGGACAATTCTCACTCATCCGTCTCCATTTGTGCCCCTTTTTAAAAAATAAAAATAAAAATAAAAGAACGTCCTTTCAGCAACTGACGGTGCTCGGCTGCTGTTTGCTGACAAAGTCTGAGATGAAGTCGAACTCGTTCTGGCCCAGGAAAAGTTCCGGCAGCTCCTGCACCCGGTCCAGGCCCAGCTCCATGACCAGCGACGTCAGGACGTCCTCGTCGATCATGTCCGCGTCCATGCCGTTGAGGGACAGCGTGGGCCCGGCCATGTGCTGCATGCTGGCCAGCTGGGCCGGGTTCATGCGGTACTGCGCGGCGGGGCCCATGTGGCTCCCGCCCATGGGCCCCAGCGGGTGTCCGTGGTACTGGGTGTTGAGTTTCTGCAGCTGCATGCTGGCCATGAGCTGCTGCGACGTTAGCCCTCCGTTCATGAACTGCTGCTGCTGCTGGGGGGGGTGCTGGGCCTGCTGCTGCTGCTGGTGTGGGTGCTGCGGCGGGTGCATGTGATGCTGCTGTTGCTGCTGCTGAGGGTGGTGTTGCTGTTGCTGCTGCTGCTGAGTCTGCCCGTTGTACATCATGCTCCCGGAGGTCATCTGGTGGTGGCCCATCTGAGCCCCGTTCAGCTGTCCGTTCATGGGCCCGCCCACCATGCCCTGCCGCTGCCTCATGGCGCTCTCCATGCTGGCCTGGGCGCCGCCGTAGTGCATCATCTGGCCGTTGGGCAGCGCCCGCATGCCCTGCTGGCCCACGTGCTGCTGGTGACCCGCCTGCAGGCCGCCGTTCATGCCCATCCTGTAACCGTGGAGACTGGCGCCCGCTGAGCCGTGATTCATGGGCATCATCAGATGATCTGCCATGTCTCCTGTGGTCATGCAAAGAGGAGACACTTGAATCAGTTTAAAGGGGAAACCGGTGGCGGTCGGAGTTTCTAGCAGTCGCCACTAATGGGCCGTGTTAAACTGGTCATTCTGACCAATAATAATGATGCCAACGTTGGCATGCCACGTCACATCTATGTGACTGACCACATTTCATTCAGACAATGAATTCATTTCTGAGGACCCAATCACTGATGAGATAATAAAGATGATGAAAGTTTCTTTGTCGGGGTACCATCCTTCCTCAAGCAAAACCACCAAAATCGTTTCCGGAACAAAACATCTGCAAGGGGTTCTTTTGCCTGCTGGTGAACGCTAAAAGACACACACACACACACACACACACTGGTGTGTGTTTAGTCTCCTAAAAAAAAACACCCATCGTTGTGCCAACGTAAGAACGCCCAGGTTGAAATTACAGGTTAACGTACATTGTTTGGGAACGTGTCTCCTGCGCGTTAAATCATCCACAATGGGATGGACAAAGCAGGGGGGGGGGCACAACGCCTGCATCTCACAGAAAAAGACTGCTGAAATCCCACCAGTGTTTCATGACAAACTGAGGTGGAAATAGCTGTAACATTTCTTGCACGTTTGGTTGCAACAAAGAACACTGACATCATGCAACATCTCCCCAATAGCTGAATCACCACATTTCCAACAAGGCAACCAAAGCCAGGGATTCTGCTCGCCTTCGACTACAAAAGAAGAAATGCATTAGGAATGTTTCTATTTGATTGATGCCCCTCGGTATTTTTTTTATCTGTTTTGATCCATTTTGTTCATCTCGACTTTGAAACAAGGGAATGCAAACAATGGAGCAAGCACCGGGAGCCCCTGAGACGCGCACACAGCGCAAAAAAAAAAAAACCCAGTTTCTCCAGCGAATAATCCGAGAAAAAAATCCTGACAAATCGCTCACCCGTATCCGCGACGTTTTCACAAAGTTGCGCGACTTTGCTCGGGCTCCGTCCTTTCCGCACAGTCTTTCCCTCTCCTCTGAATTACAGTGCGTATTCCTCTGGGTTACGCTTCATGCTCAGGCGGGGACGGTGTGCACAAAGACTGCCGCATCAGATCTTGAAACGACTGCCTATTTTCTGGGTCAACTCAGGGATTATGTACATGTAAAAAGCTCAGAGGAAGGCAGGCAGGGAGAGGTGGAGCCTCCGTCCTGCCTCTTCTTTGTTCCTATTGGCCCTACTTAATATAATTGTGCATGGGCGGAGAGAAAAAGGGGCAATTGAAGAGTTGTGACACAGAAGCCAATTTAAATATCGCCCTCCCCACTGTTTCTTTTTGAAAGATTACTGTTTGTATACATAAATCAATCCAAGGCTGGCCTTTTTTTTGTGATAGATAGATAGATAGATAGATAGATAGATAGATAGATAGATAGATAGATAGATAGATAGATAGATAGATAGATAGATAGATAGATAGATAGATAGATAGATAGATAGATAGATAGATAGGCAGGCACTAAAGTATTAGTTTTGATAACTTGTTTACACAGTCTACTGGCTTCCCTGTAACATGTGTGTTTGTTGTGGGATTGCTGCTCCTCATCTTGAGGATCACACAGATCACTGTTGGTACATGTGACCCACTAGTCTGCTGTGTGGCGGCCTCATCCAGGCAGTGGAGGGAGGGCAAAGGAATGTAGCCTCTGTGCTATTCTGAGCCACTCCGGCTGCAGGCAGCCGTTTAGCTCCAGCTGTACACGGATGATCCCCTCGCCTCGTTGGCGTGTTTTACGTGACGGTGGATGAATGCACATGTGGATTTCTGCCCGCGTGCCTGCCTCAGATGCACTCAGATGTCTTGATTGCCCACTTCAGCACAACAGCCCCCTTGCCTACAGTTGCAATTGAATAAAGCTACGTCCATTGTGGAGGGGGGGGGGAGTCGTCCATAAACGGGCAGCCACCGGCAGGCGTGTGTCATTGTGTGACATTGTCCGGCGAGTAATGTTAATAAGCCACTCCCAGGCGTGGAGACGGAGAAACTCGCCCAGCCAGTCTGTGCAAACAAAACACAGAATTCACATAAGTCCCTAATGCGTTGGGAGCCACGTTTGGTGCTGAGCAGGCGTGCGCATGGCTGAAGAAGCATGTGGCCGCCCCGCACCGGGCCGGCCGTGGCACAGGAGGAACGCTCAGTTGCCAACTGATCCGAAGGTCAGTGGTTCCACTTAATCTTCCCACACGAGGAGTCCTCATGCAAGGCACTGGACTCCTGGTTTGCCTACTGGTGTTCCCACCAGCATGCAGTATGCAGTATGACATGCAGCGTAAAGTCCTCTGAGTGCGTAATTTGATAGGAAATGTGGTTTATAAATACAAGGCCATTAACAGAATGAAATAAAATGCTTATCATGTTCATGCCAAGACAATTCCTTGTAATGGTGTGCTTATCAGTCCCTGCATCTGCTTACATCCACAATATTTGCATTAAATCCCTATAAGCTGATTGGGGTAGAATTATTATCCATTTATTTCATGTTTTACTTTGATGGAGGTTTCATTATTGTATTACAACTTGCATTCTTCACTTATTTCCCCTGTTTTCAGAAACTGTTTCTGCACATAGATATTGCAGCTATGGTCGTTTGTTGGGAAAAGTCCTTCCCTATACCTTGCCCTTGGCCAATTTATCTATTTCTACCCATATGTCAGAGTGTGCACAAGCACCGACTGCAGCTAAAATCTGTGTGCTTATGTGACCAAGTTTATTGGAGCAAAAGGCTGCAGGGCTAAGACACACCCTTGTGCCACACAGTAAAACATGCAATAAAAATGTTTTGTTTGCAGGATGAGTTCACGCAACATTCAGTTGGGCTCAGCCCCACAGATTGCTTGCATTGTTTTGCCTTTTTTAAATTCTGTGAATCCGGGTATGGCTTTTTAAGTTGTTCAACACCAGTTGTGCTCATAAACATAAAGCCACATTATTCTTCTGAGGCCACTCTGAAGAGGAAATATCCTAGTAGAGTTAATTGAAGTAAACAGAACCAAGTGCTTGAACTCTGCAGCCTTCCCTTTAATTTTTTCTTTTTTTATTATTTCCAAAAAATATGTCCTCAACTGGAGAAGGAACCTTCCCAAATAATCTTCAGTTGCACATTTACTTGCATGACATCCTGGATCTGCTGTTTCTGGTGGGCTAATGTCAACTGACAGGGAAAAAAATAATTACAAAATATGTCCCCAAAGACAAAAAATCCTTAAGACCACCTCTTGTTTCTTTGAGGTTTTGTTCCTGCTAACCATATTCTGTGAGTCACAGTCACATCTAACATAACTGAAAAGGCCATCATTCGATAAATAAATGCAGCCTGAGCCTTTTTCACCTGAGCACACCCAAAATGAATTTCTGAAAACTTTTCTTCTTCTTTTTTCTGCAGTTACTGTTCACATAAGCGCGTCACAGTGGGTGGTTTTAAGCTGGAGATGCGCTCTGCTGGCTGGAAATGTGAGAGATGGACTCCAGGGGAGGTCTTTCAAGAGGTCTGAGAAGGAAACATATGATAAATATATAATGCAGAAATGACTTTTTTCTGTAAAACAATAATGAAATAGCAGGTTGTCGTGTTGCAGAGCTGATTGTGTAACCTGATTTACGAGTTTGTTTTTGCCTCATCTGACCAAATTGTGTTCTCCCAGTACTCATTTGCATGTTTCTAATAGTGGGTAGCACCATGTGCTGTTAGGACAGTCACCTCACACTTAGGGGGTTCCTGGTTCAAATCTGTAAATGCTTTGCATGTTTGCTGCATGCGTGAGAGAATTCTGTCTGGGTACATCGACTTTCTCCATCATCCTCCCACATTTTCTATAGTAAATGAGACACAAAGCAACCTGGCTTTATTGATCAAATTTGTGTCTTTAATCGTATACGAGTGCACATGAACTTTTATTGCAATGAATTTAAATGTTAAAGTATATATTTTAGAGTATGCATCCTTATTGTTGTTCTCTTTTCCTCTCATTTTTCCGACAGGGAATGCTCTCCTTGCCAAAACATTCCTGCTCTATGTATGGAATGTTTCTGTGAGGGCGTACCCCACGAGTGCATATAGGTCAATGTATATTCTCCATTTGTCTTGGAGTATAATCGGGGCATTGCCATCTGTGACCTAGTAACATTTGTGAATTACACAAAACACAGAACAAGTTTGGATTGAACATGCTGGATCTAAATAGATATCCAAACGACACGAAGTGAAGAAAACATTTTATATTGTTTTCATAGCTGATGTAAAGAGATGATTTCAGTACTTTCTTCCAGAAGCTTATGTAAAGCATTCAAGCCTGTAGACTAACTTTAAAGGACATTTAGGCCATTGTCCCCTATCTTCCATGGGCTCCTATCCTTTCAAATCCCACTGAGGTGCATTCAAATGGAGAGTTCATGGGGAATTCTCAGCTTTTGGGATTGTACCGACTCAGCCCTACTCTGCTCTAATCTCCTTGCCATGGCTCGGTGTTAGCGACTGAACAACTGACATTTCCCCAGGTTATAGAAATGTATTTATGAAGGGGTATTGACCAATAAAGAAAAAAAAAATTAAACAAGAGTTTGTGTAGTAATTGCTACATGTGGAATAAATATGGCATGACGTTCATTATCTGGTTTGGTAGAGTATGTTTCAACCTAAACCTGCACTTCCAGGCACCGTTTCTACACAACAAACACTATCCAATTAATGTTCTTCTAATAAGTTGTTTACCATTTTCAGTATGTGTCAGGCTGCACTGATACAGCGACGAGACAGACAACTTAATTTGTATCTATTAGACTAAACTGATTGAGCAGATGCTTGTTGTTGTTCTGATTCAGTTTGTGGCTTTAAGATCAAAAAGATTTAAATATGTATTGTGCTCATGTATTGCTCTTCTTTATGTTATGTCTGAGCCAACCACAACCTTGCACTGAGCTAACTTGTCAAGAAAATAGAATGTACATCATCATGTCTG